CGATTTTTCGGCCGAAAATAAAATCGGCCGATTTTCGGATCGTTAGTGGGCGATTTGATCGACCGTTTTTTTTCGGTATTTTGGCCGTTTTTTTTTTTTTCGGTAAAGTTGGAAAAAAATCGGCCGATTTTGCCGATCGGCCGATTTTTGCGGCAATTAGTGGGCAAATCGGCCCGATTTTTTACCGATAAAAAATCTGCGCATGAGCAGTGACCTGCAAGAGGAAGACAAAAAGAAGAAAAAGAAGAAGAGGAAGACGATGAAGAAGAGGATGAAGAAGAAGAAGAGGAAGAAGAAGAGGATGAAGAAGAAGAGGATGAGGATGAAGAAGAAGAAGAGGATGAGGATGAAGAAGAAGAAGAGGATGAGGATGATGATGAAGAAGAGGATGAGGATGATGAAGAAGAAGAGGATGAGGAAGAAGAAGAGGATGAGGAAGAAAAGAGAAGAGGATGAGGATGAAGAAGAAGAAGATGAAGAAGAGGATGAGGATGAAGAAGAAGAAGAAGAAGAGGATGAGGATGATGATGATGAAGAAGAAGAGGATGAGGATGAAGAAGAGGATGAGGATGATGATGATGAAGAAGAAGAGGATGAGGATGAAGAAGAGGATGAAGAAGAAGAAGAAGAAGAGGGAGGATGAGGATGATGAAGAAGAAGAGGATGAGGATGATGATGAAGAAGAGGGTGAGGATGAGGAAGAAGAAGAGGATGAGGATGAGGAAGAAGAAGAGGATGAGGAAGAAGAAGAGGATGAGGATGAAGAGGATGAGGATGATGATGATGAAGAAGAAGAGGATGAGGATGAAGAAGAGGATGAGGAAGAAGAAGAAGAAGAAGAAGAGGAGGATGAGGATGATGATGAAGAAGAAGAGGATGAGGATGATGATGATGATGAAGAAGAAGAAGAAGAAGAAGTAGGATGAAAATAAGAAGAATTCCAGTCCAGCATAAAGTGTCTCTGCAGAGAGCTCCGCTATTTCTGACAGTTCTCTGACAGTTCCTTGACATTTACAGCGGTTGAAACATTGTATCTATTTGTTTCCGAATAAAAACATCTGTATCCTAAATGGAAACAAATAGATACATTGTTGCAACTTCTATAAATGTCAAGGAACTGTCAGAGAACTGTCAAAGAAATAGCAGAGCTCTCTGCAGGGACACTTTTTGCCGGCTCTAGACGGGTAGAAAATCGGCCGATTTTTTTTTACCATTGATGGTAACGTCGGCCACTTGAACAACCGATTTTTCGTTTTTTAAAAGAAAAATCTGCAGTTTTTCTCCCCCCATCTATGGCCTGCATTAGTCTTTTTCAAGTTTTTTTAATATTTATATATCAATATTTAATATACTTGTGTTTTTAGCTGTTTGTATGGGGTTTTGCTTTTCTAATTGTCAATAGTGTTAGCAGTCAGGGTTAATATTTTAAATACCAAGTTCCTATGCATAGTTTCTAAATATAAACTGTTTGTACATTGGAGCAACCTTATGTGCTTATTAAATATGCTTCCTCTTTAAAGTAAATTTATAGCCTCCCATTAAAAAAAAGAGTTGCAACACTTAAAGTCTAAGGGCCAGTTCACTCTACATGCCTTTCAGTTGCATTTTTTCTGCATCCAAAACGCACATAAAGTAAGTTATATGGTTGTCAATGTCATAGTTCACATCAGTGCTTGCAGTTCCAGTGCTCAGTAACACAAACTGCTGATCAGCTAATCACATGCAAGGTTATCTCATCTGAGGTTATCACTTGCTACTACATGGCCCAGCTGAGTGAAGGCACTGCCAGGTAAGCCTTTAGTTACTATACAGGTGTAAAGTAATAGTAATAAACCCATTGAGGAAAAGTAACGCACCCACTGAGGTGACAATACAATAGGGCTACACATATACTCACCGGCCACTTTATTAGGTCCACCTGTTCAATTGCTTGGTTACACAAATAACTAATCAGCCAATCACAGGGAAGCAATTCAATGCATTTAGACATGTAGACGCGGTGAAGATTACTTGCAGTTCAAACCGAGCATCAAAATGGGGAAGAAAGGGGATTTAAGTGACTTTGAACGTTGCATGGTTGTTGGTGTCAGACGAGCTGGTCTGAGTATTTCAAAAACTGCTGATCTACTGGGATTTTCAAGCACAACTCTCTCTAGAATTTACAGAGAATGGTCCGAAAAAGAGAAACTATCCAGTGAGTGGCAGTTTTGTGGATGCAAATGCCTTTTTGATATTAGAGGTCAGAGGAGAATGGGCAGATGGTTTGAGATGATAGAAAGTCAACAATAACTCAAATAACCACTTGTTACAACCAAGGTGTGCAGAATACCATCTCTGATTGCAGAACACATTGAAGCAGATGGGCTACAGCAGCAGAAGACCACACTGGGTGCCACTCCTGTCAGCTACTTACAGGAAACAGAGCCTACAATTCGCACAGGCTCACCAAAATTGGACAATAGAAGATTGGAAAAACGTTGCCTGGTCTCTTCTCCATCTACACCTCCTCCCTTGGTCACTTGATAAACTCCCATGGTTTAAGTACCATTTCTATGCTGATGACACACAAATCTATCTTTCTACCCTTCACCTCACCCCTTCAGTCTCCTCTCACGTTATTGACCTACTAAATGACATATTAGCATGGATATCACTCCACTTCCTCCACCTAAATCTTTCTAAGAACAGAGCTCATACTATTCCCTCCAGCCCCCTGATTATGCCCCCTTCCCTGACTTCTCCATCAAGACCAATAATACAACCATCAGTCCCTCCCCCCATGCCAGGGAATTAGGTATAATCCTGGACTCCCATCTGTCCTTCCTTGTGGACTTCACCTTTGCAACATCTCCAAGATATGCCTGTTTTTAACCACTGAAACCACTAAGCAACTTATTCACTCCCTTGTTATCTCTCGCTTTGACTGTTGTAACTTCCTCCTCATTGGCCTACCTCATCGCAGTCTATCCCCTCTTCAGTCTATCATGAATGCTGCTGCCAGACTCATCCAGCTTACTAACTGTTCCATATCTGCCATCCCTCTCTGCCAATCCCTCCACTGGCTTCCCATTTCCCTTGGAATAAAATTCAAAACATTAACAATAACATATAAAACCATTTATAACTCTGCCCCAAATTACATCACCAATCTTGTCTCCAAATATCACCCAAACTGTCCTCTCCAGAGTCTCCCCCATCCTTTGGAACTCTCTACCCCAATATATCTGACTATCGCCTACTCTGCCCACTTTTAGGCAATCTCTGAATATTTATCTCTTCAGGGAACACTATCCTGCCTTCAGTTAATAACCAAATCTTCTATTTCTTCTATCAGTTCATCCCCCACAGTTATTACCTTTTGTATCACATGTCCCTCCCTCTTAGATTGTAAGCTCAAGGAGCAGGGCCCTCTTAACCCTCTTGTATTGAACTGTATCATTGCTGTATTGTCTCCCTTTATATTGTAAAGCACTGAGCAAACTATTGGTGCTATATATCCTAAATAATAATGAGTCTCTATTTCAGCTGTGACATTCAGATGGTAGGGTCAGAATTTGACGTAAACAACATGAAAGCATGGATCCATCCTGCCTTGTATCAATGGTTCAGGTTGTTGTTGATGGTGTAATGGTGTGGGGGATATTTTCTTGGCACACTTTGGGCCCCATAGTACCAATTGAGCATTATTAGAACACCACGGCCTACCTGAGTATTGTTGCTGACCATGTCCATCCCTTTATGACTACAGTGTACCCATATTCTGGTGGCTACCGGCAGGATAATACACCATGTCCAAGCTCAAATCATCTCAGACTGATGTTTCTTGAACATGACAATGAGTTCACTGTACTCCAATGGTCTCCACAGTCACCAGATCTCAATCCAATAGAGCACCATTTGGATGTGGTGGAACGGGAGATTCACATCATGGATGTGTAGCTGACAAATCTGCAGCAAGTGCGTGATGCTATCAATATGAACCAAAATCTCTGAGGAATGTTTCCAACACCTTGTTGAATCTATGCCATGAAGAATTAAGGCAGTTCTGAAGGCAAAAGGAGGTCCAACCCGGTATTAGCAAGGTGTACCTAATAAAGTGGCCAGTGAGTGTATAAATATATGCAGGTTCCCTTATATACAGTAAACAGTGCTGTGCTCCGGCATCAGTACAGAAACTTTCTTTCCCATTTCAGGAACAAAACTGAGTAGGGCTGAGTGCTGTTCAGTCATTCACAGGAAACCTTATATTTTTATGAATACAAGGCTTCTTCTGATTGGCTGAGGTGGAGATTGTGACATCAGCTGCCTGACTCTCTATCTGAGCCAATTACAGTGCCATGGCCTACCTGAGTATTGTTGCCATATGTTGAAATGCATTTTTATTACAAAATATATGACAAATATGTTTAAAAATACATTTCAAATATTTGGAATGCATTTACAAATATATGTTAAAATGACTTTTTTTATATGTTAAAAAAAATCTGAAGAATATATTTTAACTACAAGCCTACGGGACACTTATACCCCCTTCCTGCCCAGGCCAATTTCCAGCTTTCAGCGCTGTCACACTTTGAATGACAATTGTGCGGTCATGCAACACTGTACCCATATGAAATTATCATTTTTTGAGCTTTATTTTGGTGGTATTTAATCACCTCTGGGATTTTTATTTTTTATTAAACAAACCAAAAACCACTGAAAAGTTTGAAAAAAAATGTTGTTTCTTAGCTTTTGTTATAAAATTTTGTAAATAAGTGATTTTTCTCCTTCACTGATGTGCGCTAATGAGGCTGCAGTGATGGGCACTGATGGGCTGCACTGACAGACACTGATAGGTGGCACTGATAGGCACTGACGAGGAGGCACTGGTAGGTGGAACTGATGGGCATTGACAGGCATCACTGAAAGGCAGCACTGATATATGGCACTGATAGGTGGCACTGTTAGGTGGCACTGACTGGCACTGGTAGGTGGCACTGACTGCCACTGTTAGGTGGCACTGACGGGCACTGATAGACGGCACTGACTGGCACTGATAGGCGGCACTGATTGGCAGCACTGATAGGTGGCACTGATTGGCATTAATAGGTGGTACTGACTGGCACTGATGGGTGACACTGAAAGGCAGGTCAGATGGGCACTGATATGTGGCATTGATGCGGCACTGATGGGCACTGGCACGTGGCACTGATGAGCACTGACACAAGACACTGATGGACACTGACAGGTGGCACTGCTGGGGCTACACTGATCATCAGTGCCCTGATGATCTGTGTACATGTCCCCTCCGTGGAAAGCCAATTATTGCCTCTCCTCTCCTCTCTTCTGTCAGTGTGACAGCTCGTGAGGAGATAAAAGCCGATAACCGGCATTTCCCTGTTTACATGTGAGCAGCTGTGATTGGACACAGCTGATCACATGACCGAGCCGACATCTTCGGCTCTTTCCGTGGATCGGTGATCCGCTGTGTCCTAGGGACACAGCGCACCACAGATCGCTGCGCTGCGTGCTCCCTGAGCCGCACATGCGCGGTGAGAATGGAAGGACGTCATATGACGTCCTCCCAGAATGAGAGAACCACCTTGCGCCCATCATTTTACTATATGGTGGGTGGAAGGTG